CACAGAATTATATAATTTCAAGGGGCAAAAACTGAATGGGAAAATCAGCAGATGTGTGAGCCATTATCAGCTCTGTAGTAACTTGTTAGGCTACCAAGGAAAAAGTTCCTTTCCTTTACGGTCTTGTCAAGCTCTAAATTCTAGGACTCTTTTAAGTACATGTCTTCCACAGTAACATCTTCCTGTAACATGTTGTTCCTATACTGTATCAATCAGTCAAATAAAGATTAGAGGATTCCTCAATACTGAGTGGTTATCCTGAGATCTTAAAAGGTAATCATCTCCTTAATTACAGGAAAACAAGCAGTAATTTTTTAAGAAAACCCACAAAGCACAAAGCCAGAATATAAAAAGAAATAAAAAGCTACATCTCAGTAGTTATTGAGAAAATGGTATCAACGAAGTGCTACTATGGAAGACCATGACCACTCCTTGATTTCACTTTCAAATAGGAGGCAGCCCCAAAACCAAAACGGATTCACATTCAAGTTGTTGACTTTGTCATATGTCATTCTTCATGCTGCATTTCTATTTAGATTCCCTCTTGGAGCAGCGCTCCATAAAGCATAAAATAGAACCCCTTGAGACTTAAAAAAGTTCAAATAATCAGAGTTTGTTGACTAAACCCAAATTTACTCATTCAATTATCTATGGGGCTCAAAATAAGCAAGATCTTAAAATAAAGTTTCCTTAATAAGTCTGCTCTAAGCATATTTATCCAGAACCCTCAAAATCTTAATATCTTAGTCGACTAAAACAATAAATCTAGACTCTGATTCAAACATATATTCCTAATAATCTGGGTATTTCTTTTACTTTGGATAGGAAGTTTGCACCCCCCACCCCCACCCCCGTACACCTAACACAGTGTTACCAACTCTCCTTTACTAGTCCACCATAAACAAGTGTAATATACAGCCAAGGACAGCACTGGCAATAGCAAACTTAAAGCAATTACCCAAATTAACCAAATATGGTTATCTAAGCAACAAGTCACTAAACAAGCCAAGGTGGTGTGCAGAGCACAGCTTTTCACCGGCAAGCAGACAAAAGGGTGTGTAATCAATTAACGCTTGTCTGAGTGCTATCTATGTATCTAGCACTGCTCTGGAGGCCACAGGGACAAAAAGGTAACAAGATACACAATCTTTGCCCAGTAAGATAAGACATCCACAAATGAAACATTTAGAGAACAAGCCAGTGTCCATCTGTATCCTGAAAATAATAAATCCTATCAGCATTCAGAGAAAACAGAACAAAACAACGGGAAGGGGTTAAAAGCTAGGAAACACACAAGATTCAGACAAGGATTGCTCCTTGAATCCACCTCTATTTAAAAGCATTTTTATCCCACGGACATGTATACACTCCTACATTTAAAATAGATAACCAACAGGGACCTACTATATAGCACATGGAACTCTGCTCAATGTTATGTGACAGGTTGGATGGGGGGGAGTTTGGGGGAGAAGGGATGCATGTATATGTATGGCTGAGTCTCTTCACTGTTCACCTGAAACTATCACAACATTGTTTGTTAATCGACTATACCCCCATACAAAATAAAAACTTCAAAAAAAAGATGTTTTTAAAGAATTTTTATCCCAGATGTCATTAACCACAAACGGAACAAGTCACTTCCCTCGGTTCCCATTAGGTCTGTTTTCTCATCTGTAAAGTAAGGAAGTTAGATTCAAAGAGGGGTCACAGGTCCCAGTCTCTCACCTAAAACAGACCTTAGAAGAAAGAGGAGTGATTAAGACTAAAACTCCACTACAAAAACTGCATAAATATTTAGTATGGATATATGACACGATGGTGTAAGTACAGTGGAGCATTTGTGCTGAGTGGATCTGGAAAGGTAAGATTCAGCCAGTTCAGGAGGAACCAAATTAAAGAACTGGGACTTGCCTCTGTGTCAGGCAATGTAACCTCTCTTTAAAACTTCTAGGTTAAAAGAAAACAAAATAAAAAGCTTTCTCAGGTTAAACTGAAATGATATCACTGCCAAAGAACTCCAATGTGTAAAGTAGAAAGGGACAACCATGATCCTTAACAGTATGACGACAGACAAGAGATTTAGTAATTCAGCATAGCCGTTGACTACTAGGAAATGCCAGCATTCAGGCTATCATAATCAGAGATGAGACAGATTGAGCAAAGAAATTACACAACTCACAATGAAAGGCAGTTCCCTTCAAAGAATCACCCTTGAAAACAGCCACCTTCACTAACTGCACAGAAAGACATACAACAAATATTTAACATCAGTCTCCGTTACAGCCACAGGCTGGAAAGCAATAACAGGCTCTTCACAAAGAAAAGGAAAAAATTACACTAGATGGTGCTGCAACTACTGAATAAGCCCCTGCAGCTTTTCTCCTATTTACTCAGTTGAACAATGTTTTAATGAGGGGGTTGCGGGGGGAGGAGGCCAAGTTCTGTTTCATAACTTCACAACCACTTTTACCTATATTAGCTGAACTGTATTGCTCTGGGCTTGTTCTTCAAATCTGGAAAAGATTCAAAAACATACTTCTCAAACAAAAAATGAACCAGTACTATAACTGGTTATTTAATACTGATTAATTAAATTGACTCTAATTTACCATATTTACTACAGCAGAACAAAAGTGGCACAAGCAGAACTTGTGATCTTGTCCAATGCAGAGTGCCATCTGCTGCACACACACAGGATGTCACCTATACAAGATTCAACCTTAGTGTCTTCTCAGGGGCCTTTATAAGAGCAAGCTATTTGTTCTATATTGCCTAATACATGTGCCTCAAACCAACAGAGGAGAATTCTCATTCATGGGGTTTTGAAATACCAGTACTTTCATAACAAGCAATAGTAAGTTTTAAAAGGAAGGAGAAAGATGTGAAGGAGCAACTGCACTTTCTAATCAAAAGAATGCAATAAGATGGACAGAGTATCTGGGGTGGATCAGAGTCCTAAAACTGTTATATATTCCCCGTGTAATCTTGGCCAAGTCTCTCCCTTTTCTGGATCTCAATTTCAGGCATAAAATGTCAAGAATTAAATAGGTCTCTAAGAGATATCTTTCAAATTTTGAGCCTTGTGAGGAATCAAAAAATAACAGATGGAGACAGCGGTACACATGATAGCTTTGGAGCAATCATAGAAAAAGAAAAAAAAAACTGTTTACGTATTTTAAATAATCAGGCACAACTTTTTCAAAATCTTACAAGTCTAAGTTCATTTTCAAGTCACCATTCTTACAACACTTCTGCCCTTCAGAAATAACAGTTCATTTAGTTGTGCTTTCAGCTCAAATTTGGCACATCACTTTTACCCACCCCAGAATAGCACAGAAAAACACTTTCATGAAGTACCTGCACAAGGAAGGCACTCACAGCCTGACAGACTCACATGGTGGAAAATACACAAGGCACAAATTTCAAAACGCTAAATGAACACCACACCCAAATAGTCTTAAAAACAACTGCAAAGTCGAATATATCAAAATACAGAGATAAAGACAACTTGGTAAATCTTTAAATAGTTTGAGGGGGAGGGGAATGCAATCAGATTTTTGGATGGCCTTATGTTTTTAAAAGAACAAAACATATAACTGGAGGCTATGAAACATGCAAATCTAAATTGAACTGTGGAAAGCTCGGCTCTCACCCAAAAGCTTCAGCAAAGCAATATGTCAGTACGCCAAAATGAAGTACAATTTTCTCACAAGAAGGAGGATAGGGTCCATATATGTGACTAATAATAACAATACCATCTTGCATTTAAAGAGCATTAGTTCTTTTCACTGCTCTTTCAGACACCTAATTTTATGCTGTCAACAGTCTTAGGGTATCCTCTAAAAAGCGCCAGTTCAGTTTCCTCTCAAGAGCCATGTGATCAGAACAAGAAGACAGGTGGGTGTATTTGTTGAGGGCTGAAGGTACTAGTTTCTGCTATCAGGCTGTCTGCAGTGATTCTCATTACCACACTATACAACTTAGCCCTAGGAAATAAAACCTACACTCTTTCCTTTGGAGTTGGCCAGAGATCAAAACTATGGATCTAGAAAGTCCAAAGATAACCTGCCTACTTGTTAGGTCAAGAATTCCACGTCAACTTGATCTCTTGCAACTTAAAATGAAATATACATACACCCCAAGTCTGTTCTAATAGAAACTCCCGTGCGTTGCCAGCCAATGAAAGCCAGCAATAACGGGTTAATACAACCACCAAAACCCTGCCGCTGGGAACAACTTGTCATATTCGCTTCCCCTCTGCCTGCTGCCCACCCTTCCTTCTTCGGGCACGCACAAGCTTATAAACCAGCCCTCCAAAAGGGTCACCCAGGACCTTTAAGGACCTGAGAGGATGGAGCTTGCCTCCTGAAGCAATGCAGCATCCATCGCAAGGGTGCTGTGCCCCGTGCCCACAAGCAAGAAGTCACAGAAAGGGATAAAGTTTGATTTTCCGCCTTGCGGGTTCACACAGGGCCGAGAAGAGAACGAGTGAGCAGCCCCGCTGGGGTTCAGGGCTGCCCTCCGGGGGACAGTTCCCAGCAGCATGGCACCGCCACTCCTGACACAGACACAAGGCGGCCGCGGCAACTCAGGACACCCCAACCCGCCCGGAGGAGGAGGGAAAGGGAACAACTTGAACAGTGCTCAGGGAGGGAGCCACGGAGCAGAGCTGTTAAGGAAAAAAGGAGGGAGGGACCGAGATGGGGGCGGGTCGGGGAGAGGTTCAAGTCCCTTCCCTTCCCCGCCCTGGTGTCCCCGGTCCTGCGGGAACATCCCAGCCGTCGCCCCTCCTCCTCCTCCCGGCTTCCTCCGCCCTTCCTTTTTTCCTGGTTGCCGCCGCAGGCGCCTGAAGGGCACGGCGGCTCCTCGGTGCCCGGCAACCTCGGGAGCGGCCGCGAGTTGAGGTAACTCGCCCGCTGCCCCGGCGGCCTGCCTGCCGGCGGCTCCCACACGCCAGCGCTGCCCCGCCCTCCCCGGAGCCGCCGGGCGCGCTCGCTCACCGTCCGGTGGTGCTGCTGCTGCCGGTGGCGGCTGACGCCCAGAGCGGGGAAGCAGCCCGCAGTCAGCGCTCCGCAGCCGCCGCCACCCCCGCCGCCGCCGCCCCGGGAGGAGAGGAGCAGCAGGAGCGATCTACCTGCGGCGGCCGCCATCTCTCAACTGGAAACGGCGCCGACCCAGGCAGCGCAGCGGACGGCCGGGGCGGAGCTAAGGCCCGCCACTCACCGGCGCTGGCCCAACTGCCGCCCCGGACTGAGTTGATGAGGCGGGGCTTCATGCAAGGTCCAATCGACAGGCGGGAGAGCCACACTAGAGACTGCCTGTCACTTCCAGAGTTACCTATTGTGGGGCATAGTCAATTACGGGCAAATTCTAGGGAACCGGTAATTGGCACCCGAACCCCTCAGAATAGCAGCAGCAGAGATAGCGTATTCGATTCGGCTAATCTTCATCAAGGATACAGTTATAATAAGTGTAACTGGGGAAATGGATATTTGTGCAAAGCTCTGTAGTTCGTGAGTGTTTTAAGTTGGCAAAATAGACTCCAAATAAGGAATCATTAGCTAGGTACGCTGGAACTCCCAACGACACGCCCAGAGTTATCATTCATAACTGATGGTATTTGGATATCCTGAACTTATTCCCACATCCTGAGGTTGTCTAATAACTATAATATGCAGCATAGTACAGGAGGGGTAGAATGGTTGTGATACCAAAGTCCCAGAATGAGTACATGTTATCAGTGAATTAACAGACCTGTATACATTTCAGATACTCAGTTCACTTTTACAGCACCTTTATACTGATATTCTTACACTCTCCATAAGCAACACTCTTACTTTCTTAGCACTTTTGACCTTATGTGCGCTTATTAAACTATAGAAACAGAACATGCCCATAATGTAATTTAAAAAATCACTTGAAGTTTACCTTAATGAATTTCATAATTTAGCTAAGTTAGCCACTAGAATACACTTTGGAATACCTCTTTCTCTTGAAAAATACTTCTTTCCACAGAAACAAGCTCATAATAATAGTTCATTTAAGACTATGAAAGATTTGAGTTTTCTTAATCTTCTCAGAAGACAATTTCCTTGCTGTCTGTTTATTATGAGCTAGTTAATTCTAACTCCTTTTAAAATCTGGAGCAGGAGAACAGTTTGGTAAGCAAATAAAAGTATTATCCTAAATTTTAGGGTGATAAAATTAAAGCTAAACAACACAATACACGCACATAATTTTATTCTATCACATATCCTAATAATATTTTTTAAAGCTTGACTGAAATGGTACTTTTTTGATCAAGAATAGCTAAATAATAAAGGGAGCTTTTTGGTTTGTTTAATCCTTCCACCCCACCCCATGACTGTAAGATGACTGGCTTTTCCAGGTGAGACACTCATACCACTCACCCAAAAGGCATTTGTTGCTCAACAGTGGAACATGAGAGCTCAGGAATGAGACAAGCCCACCATTCAACAGCTGCATACACTAATCCCCCTAGTTGGAAATCTGTGACATTCCTGGGGCAACTTCACTTACAATCATTTTCCACTCATCTATATTTATCCCATGTGCACTTTATGTATTTACCCATGCTCTCTTTATGTATTTCCCTCTCTCTTGTCACTTCACAACTTCTTACTGGGATTGCCATGGATTTTAGTATTGTTTTTATTTTCTGTATATTTGCAAATCTGGCTACAAATCAGTATTATGCCTTCCACTCCGTGTTATACTTTGAAAAGTTCTACTGGAATTGCCTTTCCTCTGTTTTTCAAACTATGAAAATAAAACATGGATCCTGCATTACTGAGATTTAGTCCTCTGGATTTGCAAAAGAACCACAATAAATAGTTTTTCAACTGCATAAACCTGAAACTGAAGGGATTATCAAAAGCTTTCTCTTTATTAATATTTACCAAACTGTGTCATCTTTCATCTACCAAGATGATAGCATTGATGAACTACATGTAGCTTGCGTATTTTGAGGATCCACTGACTAAACTGAGTTTTAATAATCCCGGGCTAGAAATTAATCTAAACAAATGTCAATTATCTCTTCACAGAGAAAACCTTTCCACAGCTGCAAAGCACATATCTCATACCAGCTAGTTGGCGAGGCCAAATAAGAGGAAAGTGTAGATAGCTCAATAGAAAGTCATTCTCTAAACAAATAGTAATTTCTGGAAGAATAAACAAAAACACATGTTACTTCTGGGAAATTTTAAGGGGTAGCTATCCATTTGAATGGTTTAACTTTTTCCCATCTGCATGTTATTTTTATAATTACAAAAATATGGTCACTGAAGCCTACATGGCTGCAGAATTGTTTTCTGTGCCAATCCTTAAAACAGGTTGATCTTTTCTTTTAGCTAAAACTAATCAGAACAGATTTCCTGGAGCATGAAACCCTAACTAGGTTCTCTACTAAAATGTACACTAAAGTCAGCTCCAAAGTATGACTCAACTCAGTGGAGTATTTGCCTAAGCATTCCAGAATAGCCAGGGTAGGTGATGCACACAGTTTGTTGACGTGAGCAAGGAAACATGAAAGGGATCTGCTTAGAGATCTGGGAACTATGTTTCATGGTTTGCTAATATGAGTTATTATTAGCAATCAGCAATTGCTAAAGATCAGAAAAAATTATACAAAGGAGAGAGAGAGGAAAGTGTGTTTAGCTTTTAAATATGTATCATAAACCACAGCTTAGATCTGTTTTCTGGTGATTATTTTTCCAGATGTCATTATTCCTATTTTTTAAAACTACCCATCTGCAGAAGGGCTCAAATATTCAAACCCCACCACATAGCTTTTCCTGTCTATATATCTGGTCTGACTTCAAACACACATGCATTTTTTTTCCTTCCTTTTGTTTTTCTCTTCTTCCCCCTTACTTTAATGGAGACTGAAATTTCATATTGGATCATTTGCATGCTTTATATACATAATTTACATAAATATAGTTACATAGCTCCTCTTAAAATTTTTGTTTGACAAAAGTTTCATGTCCCGGCCTCCAAAGGATGACTGACTCCATATTCATTTTATAATTTAGTGACACTATTCTAACATTCTTTTAGGTCAGAAACATCCAGTTTGCAAGTTTGGGGGCTTTTTTGTTGTTCTTTTTTGTTTTTCTGTCAAGTACAGAACACCAGGGAAACACTGAGTTCAGAAGGGCAGGGCTTGTTCAACTAGGACTGTCTGTTCATGTTTCTCAGGATCTGAGAGGTTGGCAGCTAACTTGCACGTTGTCTTTATTGTACTGGATTGGCCTGTGGCTGCCTACAGCCTTTGCTCTCCAGTGGACCTTTGGAGTCAGGAAGTCTTTTGTCTCATCTGAAGTGATTCAAAGAGGCAAGACACTAATTCTGCACTCAAACCACATATTCCTTAGACAGTGCATAGGAATTCAGCACACATTTTAGTGGGACCCAACACTATCCACTCCAAAGTATTCGAAAGTGCCCCCTTACCCAATCCTAAAAACATTTTCTGACAAGGCTGAATTATAACAAAATTCCAAATCAGTAAAGGGCTCTCCTCTCTCAGCATTCTCCAGGTATTGACTACCCATACCCTGAACATGCCCTGACATTCCAACCTTCAACTCTTTGTTCCTACTGTACCTATACGTCACCTGTTCTACTCTGTTGAAGACCAGCTTGACTTCCTCTGAGAGGAAATGCCCAGGTAAAATTAAACTCTCAGATTTGTTGTTTGACTTTCTATCATAGTACTATGTTACTTGATATGAGCTGGTCTCATATCAAGTATGACAGTGAAGTCTGCCACACCCTTGAGTATCTGACCTATTTGATTAGACTAATTTGCCTGTCTAGGCCACAGTACCCGTCTCCCCTCACTTTTATATGTATTTTATATCAGAATGATTTATGTTACTATCTTTCTCCTACACAGCTCTTCCAGTTTAGAGTTGCCAATCTGGTAAATTAATTTAAGCTGACTTTAGATAATAACAAGTTCTTCTTGGATTGCCTCTTTTGCACAACATTTACACTTAGAGGATTCAAATGCTAATAGGCAAAATAATTTCACAAAGTATGGCAGGTCTAAGAAATTTTTTTTTCAGGTGAGATAGTCCACTAATAGTCTTCAAATTTTCTTCAAATACCTAGTCACTTCCCTGTGCTTATTTCAAGGTCAGATACATCTTTATATTATGCTGCATTTTGCCCAAATTTCAGCTCCTCTGAAACTGAGCTGATTTTGTGTCAAATGCTGTATTCATTCTCCATTTCAGTGTAATATATATAATCTTTACCAGTACTTTTAAACATGAACACAAAGTCTGGACTGTGGGATGCACTTGGGAGGCAAAGGGTGGAGGAAACTGTGGGTATGAGACTGGTCATCGCCAGTTAACAACAGGTGCGAATACTGCCCTTTAAATTTAGACACTGTACTTGGCATCTTGTCTCTCAGCTGTCACTGATAGCAACCACTGCTGATTTGGAAATGATCAAGGAAACGATGACAGAAAGGGTCACGTTTATTAAAAGGCAGAGAGAAACAGTTTTGTTCTTTTTTAATAAAAACTAGCCTAAGGAATAAAAAGCAGCATGAGACTTGCAAAGTGTAAAGACAGCTTAGAGTGAAAAGGGAGAGATAATAAGCATTAACAAATTTTTTTTAATTAGGCAATTTAAAAGTCATTGCAGCACCAAAAACTTGGGAGACAAAGTACCTAAAATTTGGGTGGAAACTTGGAAGATAGTTACTATTAATTGAGAGTAGGCCCTCACCAAACCCCCATGGCCAGGGGCCAAACAAGGGGTTCACCCCAGTTCATCATTCACATATTTAATTTGTCTCCCTCTCCTTCTCCATTGTTGCTTCCTTGGTTGAGTTTTTTCTTCTTTTTCTTATTTAATAGACTCTATTTTTTAGAGCAATTTTAGGTTCACAGCAAAACTAAAACACTCAGGCAGGGGTATCCAGCATGCATTTAAGTTTATAGCTCTGAATACAACAAGGTCCTACTGTATAGCAAAGAGAACTATATTCAGTATCCTATGATAAACCATAATGGAAAAGAGTATTTTTAGAAAAAAGGATGTATATATACACACATAATGTATATATAACTGAATCACTTTGCTGGACAGCAGAAATTAACAGAATGCT